ATGTAGGTGTCTTTGTGTATGTTAAGATGTGGGGGGTGGGGAGAGAGAGAGAGAGGGGGGGGGGAAGAGAGAGAGATCCATATATTTATCTATCTATCTATCTATCTATCTACATGTATATATATCTACCTATCCATTCATCCATCCATATCTGTCTAACAACCCATACATCCATCCATCCATCTATCTATCTATCCATCCATCTATCTATCTATACATCTATCTATCTGTCTATCCATCCATATATCTATCTATCTATCCATCCATTCATCTATCTGTCTATCCATCCATATATCTATCCATTCATCCATCCATCTCTGTCTAACAACCCATACATCCATCCAACCATCTATCTATCTATCCATCCATCTGTCTATCTGTCTATCCATCCATATATCTATACATCTATCCATCTATCTGTCTATCCATCCATCTATCTAAAGAACCTACTAGAGTACTGAGTCCTCAGGTCCTGAAATTGCTGCTGCTGCTGCTGTTGTTGTTGCTGCTGTTGTTGCTGCTGCTGCAGTGCCACGACCCCACCACCAGAGCCCACCGCCTGCTGCGAGCCCGCCGACGAGTTCGTCCCCGGCTGTAAGGCGATGTGGCCAGGTGGTCCCTGCAGAGTGATGGTGCCGGAGACAGGGGAGCTGCCCGCCATCGCCAGGTTGGCAGTCGCAGCGGGGACGAACCCGCTCTGATCCGGCTGCATCCACAGCTGCTGTTGCTGTTGTTGTCCGAGAGCAGAGTTAAGGCTGACGGTCACTAGAGAGTTGCTGGAGGGACAAAAACAGAGGAATTAAATTTATTTTTAGTAAGAGTTTTTCGGCATTTGCATACTTACTTACTACCCATTACGCCATCTGGCATTTAGGACAGCAAAAAAGGATATCCAGCTCTCTCTGTTTTGGGCCATCTTGGTCAACGTCCCCCACGAATGGTTCCAGGACTTCATTTCAGACTGTACTGTGTGTCTCCAGGTCACTTTGGGTCTGCCCATTTTGCGACGTCCTTCGGGTGTCCAGTGGCGGGCAGTCTTCACAATAGAGTCTGGTTCTCTTCTCAGAACATGCCCAATCCATCTCCATCTTCTCCTTATTATTATGGTGGTCATGTCCTTTACTTACAACACAATAAGGTCATATAAGTGCCCAAGATTAGAGGAGTTACAAGAGAGTAACGAACACAAAAAAAGAAAAAGGAGGGGAGATAAAGATGACAGACATTTGATAGGAAAGAAGAAGCAAACCACACCAGAGCACCTGCCAACCACTCACTTTCTCCCATTAAACAGAATACAGTACGACAAGGATTTTGAAGCGAAGAACAACCACCATAAAAAATCTATTTACACCCCCCCCCCCCCAAAGCCTCGTTAACGACCCAAAGCTATGTGAGAAATAAATGCCATTACTTATAATAACTTTGGAATGTTTGGACGCCCCCCCCCCCCCCCCCCGGGGGGTGCCACTGACTGAAGTGCCTTCAGGCCATTCCCAAAGAGGGGACATTTCTCGTTCTTTTGCTCAGTAGAATTGTAAACGGGCTGATTCATCATGTCATGCTCATAACTGTGCCTGATCTACAACAGGGAACTGCTGCTTTTTCTTTCCTCATCCTTACTATTGTCATTTTCCTCTACTTCTTTTGTATGTTTGTCACACTCTTGTGACCCGCTATTTCCGGGGTGTCTTGATAGTCGAAGCAGACTTTGTGCTGTTGAGGCTAGAGAGGTGAGCAGAGTAAGCCTGATTCCCTGTAAGGACTTCTCTGTTGACATCCACCCCGTGGCGCTCATATGACCTTATGCAGTTGCGAGCGACGTAAAACCCTCTACTATAACTAAAGTTTGGACGTGCTAATTTCAACAATCCGTTGTAACTTGAAATTTTACATTCAATCTAGTGACAACCGATGACCTGAGTTACGATGTGGTGGAAGCAGACGCTCGTCAATTTTTGGGTATCATGTAGAGTTATTGGTATCTGCTTGTTCATTCGTCTTGCTTTCTATGGAAAACACATTTCATTTATCTTGGATACAAGTCGAGATATTGGCGATTGAAGGAGTTGGAGACACCTGGTTTCATAGGCAAAATTAGCAAGAAAATGGTCCCCAAATTTTGGCTTCGTGATTTCCAAAGTTTGAGAGTCCTTGGAGACTGAAATTTTATATTTTTTTTAACCTTTAACTTTAATCAATGTTTTTCAGTAAAATCTGAAAGGTGCTCTCAAAAAAGCTACGTTTCCCTGATCTTTCCCTGTTACCCATTTGTTTAGGTTCCCTAAGTATGTTGTTCTGGGCCTACCCCTGCCTCGCTTGCCCTCAATTTTGCCCGTGAGAGCTAGATGTTCAAGACCTTTATGTCAATTCAGGTGTCAAACGCTGCATTTGTCGTTTCCTGATTGTTTTAAACATTGAGCGTCCCACGCGGGCTTCATCGAGTCATAGTAGACTTTTGTTAAAAGCCGGGGCCCAAATGGCAAGTCCGCCGGAAAAAACCGGAAGATTTCCATCCCTGAAAGTAAAGCCTTACAATCGTAGACGATCTCACCCAGTACCTGTTGCTGAACGTCGTTGAACTCAAGGCCGCGCTGTCCGCCGCCTGCTGCAAAATGCTCCGAGCGGCAGACACCGCGCCCACATTGAGGCCGTCATGGGCGGAGAGAATGCCGGGACTGCCATCGAGGAGACTGACCGTGGACGGGTTCACCACAGCCTGCTGGAGCTGCTGCTGCTGTTGTTGCTGTTCCTGAAGATGCTGTTGCTGCTGAAGTTGTTGCTGTTGCTGCTGGATCTGCTGCTGCAGCTGTTGGCTGGTGACCGTGGCGGCTGTGGCGGTGCTGCCCCCGTTGAGCAATCCCGCCGGGAGGGTCAAGATCTCGCTCCCGCTGACCAGCGAGCTCTGGTTGAGCGGCACGCCCAGCGAGGTAGGCAGTAGTCCCGTCTGGTTCCCCCCACCCCCCGCCGCAACCACCACCTGGTTAAATGCCGCCCCCAGCGCCTGGATGATTCCGGAAGCCGAGTTGTTGTTGTTGGTTCCTGCGAGCGTGGCCGCGGTAAGCTTCCCACCACCACCACCGACGACACCGATGACACTACTGCTACCGCCGCTGCTGCTGCTGCCCACCACCACGTCTCCCGCCCCCCCACCGCTGTTGTCCCCGCCCAATCCAAGGGCGTCTCCCCTTATCTCCCGGGGGGTCAGATGCGACTCCAAGATGCCGTTACTTGTGATCTCGCTTGAGTGAAGAACGCCGGACACATTAGCTCTCCCGGCCGTCACACCGCTGTGCAACGTCTGCTGCGCGTGCTGTGGTTGCTGCTCCGCCCCCACCGAGCTCGCCCCCATCACCACATGATGGCCGCCCAGCTGAGCCGGGAGGCTGTTGTTCACGACAACATTCCCGGCTTCGTTAAAGCTGATGTTCACCGAGCCCTGATTCACGGCCGGTCCGGCGCCGACCCCGCTACCATTCCTGGCCACCATCTGATCCGCCTGTGCCGAGCTCATCCCGACAAGGGAGGGCGCCACCGTCACCGATGACGAGGAGGAAGAGGAAGCGGAGGAGGCAGAGACAGAAGTCGCGGGGCTGAAGCGAATCCCACACGCCCGCAGCGTGTTCAGATCAGACATACTCAAAGGGATCATGACGCTACCATCTGCCGACTGCGCTGAAGCTTGTTGCTGTTGTTGCTGCTGCTGCTGTTGCTGCTGTTGTTGTTGTTGCTGCTGCACGCTGCCCGGGGTGGAGGAGCCACCGTTGAGCAGGATGTTGTGGTGGTGATGTCCACCGTCCGCCATGGCTGCAGGTCCTTCCACACACAGGGGAGACAGATCCGCTCCTCACCTACTGGGTCAGATGAGATAAGATCAGATCAGATAAAGTAAGATAAGATAAGATACATCTTAACTGTCCAGATCCTCTCCTCATCTACTGGGTTAGATGAGATAAGATCAGATCAGATAAAGTAAGATAAGATAAGATATAGTAAGACAAGATCAGATAAAATAAGATATAGATAAAGTAAGGCAAGATACGTTTTAATTGTCCTGATCCTCTCATCACCTACCGGGTTAGATAAGATAAGATAAAGTAAGATAAGACACGATAAGATCAGATTATAGATTATAAAGTAAGATAAGACAAGATGAAATAAGATCAGATAAGATAAAATAAGACAAGATAAAGTAAGATAAGATAAGATAAATCTTAACGGTCCAGATCCTCTCCTCACTTACTGGGTTAGATAAGAACAGATAAGATAAAGTATAATAAATTAAGATATGATAAGATCAGATAAAGTATAATAAATTAAGATATGATAAGATCAGATAAAGTATAATAAATTAAGATATGACTAGATCAGATAAAGTAAGACAAGACAAGATGTAAGATAAGATAAGATGCATCTTTATTGTCCAGATCCGATCCTCACCTACTGGGTTAGATAAGATAAGATACATCTTTATTGTCCAAATCCTGGCACATTGGTTCATGGAAGGGAAAGTATTTTTTGTGTTTTTTAAGCTTTAGTAGTAAGAGTCTTACGGCACTTGCAACACGATAAAGTCATTAAGTCCCCAAGATTAGAGGTGTTACAAGAGAGTAACAAACATAAAAAAGAAGGAAGAGATATCAGGACGATAGATGTTTTTAGGAAAGAAGGAGCAAACCACACCAGAGCACCCGCCAACCAGCCACATTTGGTTTTTATCATTACAAAATCTTCCAATCTTTTCAAAGAAGCAAAGGCATGGTTTGATTTATGAAAACTTTTCATCCGACAGTAACATGTTTTAAGTAATTAAATCTTTTCATCAGAGCGATTACATGTTGTAACCTCATCAGTACGCTCTGGGGTCATTTTGTACCCCGGGGTCGTATTCCTCACATTTTAGAATACTTCTAGTACGAAAATCTCTTTGAAACTTTCAGTATTTCTCAAAAAATCATTTTGACAGACTGCTATGTAAAGCGTACGGATTAACGATTAAATTAATTTCCTTTTGGAAAGTGATGACACAGAGTTCCCCACGTCGTATGGATACGATAGTAAAACACGACGTATGGATAGGGTTAAGTGGTGGCAGAGAGTTCCCCACGTCGTATGGATGATAGTAAAATACGACGTGCGGGTAGGGTTAAGTGGTGGCACAGAGTTCCCCACATCGTATGGATACGATAGTAAAACACGACGTATGGATAGGGTTAA